CCCTTTAGGTAAGTACGATTTTTAGCACATGAAAAAATGAATGTATTAACAGTGTTTGAAATTTCATGTAGACCAAAAGGAAGGTGTGCAGCAAAGTGAATTTTAGGACTCGCCATTGTAAAAAGCCATGCAGAGTGCATATTTATATTTGTGGACGGTAGTCAACCACCATAAACTCCACAGCTTTTATTTGATGAATTTTGTACCATTTCCTAGAGGATGCATGAGTGTGGCTTCTTTGGAAACAAATATTCTATGTAAGTAAAACATAATTTAAGCTGAACTTCTAAATGTATAATAATTTGGGCACTGTTTTGAATTAGCGCCTAGCGACCTTATCCACTGGTGCATTACCTCATACCAGCAAAAGAATCAGGTACTAACAAAAATAAGTAGGTAGTCAAGTTCATGTATATATTTACTGTAGAAACTGCTGTATGCCATTGCTAGCAAACTAAACCAGCTACTGTCTACATTCACCATGGAAATATACCTACTACAATTCACCAAGGAAAGGCCAAAATAGTTCCATGTAGAAGCTCATAGCTCACACACATAGCATAAAGCTCGATTTGGTGTTTAATGCATCTCCTCGCCGGCAGAACTGCTTCCACTTTTTCGCCAGGTTTGCGTCCGTAGAAAACGAAAAATAACTTATATCGCTCGCTTTCCTTATTTTTTCACTATTACATTTTGCCACTGCACACTTCATTTTGCTTTGTAATGTCTCAATAATTGTTTAAAACCCCGCAGAAGTATTAACGCACAAATATTAAGATTGTTATTTGGTTTTTTCGTATGCTCATAATCAACAATTGCACCTAGATGACGTCACGCACACAGCTGGTTCTGTCAAAATCACAAAGAGCGGATTAGCGGTACCGCGATTGGCGCAATCTCTATTTCTCTCAATCGTGGAATTAATCATATCTTTGAAATAACAAACTCCTTCAAAATAAATCCTGCGGTCAGAGAGAAAAAATAAACACGCCACTTTAAATAAAAAGGTAGGTTTCAAACCCATTTATTTATTATTTATTTCATGGTAGAAGAGCTTCCCCTGCAGGGAAACCGCGGACTAGTGAATCAAATTTCTAGTTCCATACTAGGTCTTTATCGCCAAAAAGGAACTAGTCCGATACGAACTAGATGCCCACCAGTCCAAAATCGGCGAAAAGTGGTACTTTCAAAGAACTAATTTTTTTCACTAGAAATCTATATCTAAAGTGACGAATTTAGAAATGGTTCGGAACTATAGAAAAAGGGATGCAGAACGAACTAGATCTTATTTGTCGAATTTAGAACTACTTCGGAACTATCGAGTAAGGGATGCAGCGGGGAGCTTGTTTACTTTACATAGATATGTGTTCGGCGGCTTTTTCGTTCAAATACGCTTCTATTCTGTGCTTCGCAGATGCTTTTTCATAGCTTGGTAATACAAAACTAAAATTTGTGTTAACATTTCAACATCTTGGGGCCGTCTGGAATCTAAGAAATAACAGCGAACACCTCTGCAAACTCAGCTACAGCTAAAGGTATGTAAACGTAGATTTCTTACAATCATTCAAACAAATTTAATTTCAAATTGAAAACACATTCCTTCCAAAATAACTTAAAATCGCACACACGGAACAACCATAAAGATTGAAAAATCATGATACTTTTTTCTTTCGTCTGGCGATTTTAGAACTGGTTCGGAACTATAGAATTTAGGACTGGTTCGGAACTATAGAATTTAGGACTAGTTCGGAACTTTCGAAAAAGGGATGCAGCGGGGGGCAACTGACACTTCCTAGGACATCGCCTTGTTAAATTCGCCAGTTGCTTACATGCAAAAGAGATTTATCGCGAACCAGTACTAGGTCCAAATGTACTAGAAGCGCACCAGTTCAGAACTAGAGGTTTTCCCCACAGGGTCTCAAACAATATAGAAGCAATTTTTTCGACTCAAGTTGTTGAAAAGTAATGAATATTTAAATCCCAGGATACCGGGATTGTGACAACGCCATCCCGAAAATCCCGGAATCGGAAAAAGCCGAAAAATTAACATCCCTAGTTCCGAAGTTACAGCTGATTAAAAATTTGCAGGCCTATGTGAGGTGCCACGCCCCCTCGAAAAATTGACATCATATTTGCAAATAAAACCATACCTATAACCTTCCGGGGGTAAAAACAAATAAGTGTTCAAACCTTCGTGCGATTCCGTGTCGTGACTTAAAAGTTATAAGGTAATAAACAAACAGACATTCACATTTATATATATAGATAGATTTTGAATAAATATTGATGAAGTCCTTAGCCACGTTGCTAAAAAAAATCTGAAGTTCCGGTACATACACACATATAAATTCAAGGCCGTATTAAAGAAAAGTCGCCTAAATTCGACAATGTTTATGCGATTGCAATAAATGTGGTATCAGTTTATTTGAAAATAGATTTAATTTTAGATAGTACTCCATATTTTGAAATTGTAGAATTTATCGATGGTCAAAATTTAGAAAACTAAGATAAATATGGATCTTTTTTTAATTTACCCGATAAAAAAATCCCAACAAGCCTAGTCCGACTATAGATTATTATATACCATTTTAAATTTTATATTCTCTTCTCAGATCATATTCGATCTTTGAAATCGAATCAAAAATAGTCATTCAAAAACTCATAAATCTACAAAATCGTATTTTCTGACCTAAATCGACAGGTCTCGACCTCTAAATAACCTTTAAAAAATCTATAAAAATAGACGTTACGATTTCTCATAAAAGGGAATAAAATTAGGGGGTAGGGTCTTGAAATTTCCAAAAAAAAGCATTTCCAATGTGCACCCTAATATGTATGTATGTCAACTAGGACTGATGATTTGACTCTGGTAGCTCGTTACTAGTAAATTTGTTCGCCTATGTGAAATATGAAACAAACCTTCCCAATAAACATTGGGTTTTGTTAACAATTCGAAAATGATGAACTAGGCCATTCTCCAGCAAAACGGAACCTTCGTTACCCAATGTATTTTCTCTTCGTTATGAATTCGAAATCCAGCCCATTATAGAATTAAAATTTTAATGAGAGAGAGTGATTGTCTTATGTTTCCCTTCCAGAATGAGCTGGATTTCATTCTCTCTTTTTACTATGGTTTGCAACTTTTTCGAACCCATTTCGAGTGAATTTCCAATATAAAGTAGTAGTCTGAAATTATCGATAGTAGGCACTAGTTCTTTCGAAAGCCATCTAAACTTATAATTTGGGTTTGTATTGCGCTTGACAAATTTGTACAAAATATATTTTTTTTAATTTTACAAGGGAGGAAAAAAACTTCTCATAGCGATTTTCTTAAGAATTTTGCAAAATTTTTAATAAAATATTTTACGTCTTTAAAGCAAAGCATAACTTCATACAAATCAGAAGGATTCGTTGCTAATTAAAAAAACCGATTTTTTTAAAGCTACATATTTATTTCATTCAATATCAGATATTTTATAATTCAATATCAGTTATTTTACTTCATTCAATATCAGATATTTACCTTCTTCAGTTCTTTTCCCGAATCTATCCACAATTTTCGCTTATCAAAGCACCCGCTGAAACAAGAAAATGCTTGTAAAAGTACGCTGCCGAACTATCTCTTATTAAAAGGTGCTGCCAGGATGTGCCAAATGTGCATACAAAGTGACAATAAGCAATTAAAAAATAATGTAAGAAAAACAAAAGTATTCAACTCGGAACCCGCCGGGGGTAGCAGAGGAAGAGGGAGGCCGCCACTGCGATGGAAAGGCCAAGTGGAGAAGAACTTGGTTTCACTTGGCATTTCCAATTGGCGTCAGTAGCCACGGAAGAGAAACGACTGGCGTGCTTTGTTGAACTCGGCTTAGGCGGTTACAGCGCCAAATAATAAGAAGAAGAAAAACAAAAGTTATCGATAGTATCGAAAACGATAGTCCAAAACCATCGATAGCGTCGGTATTGCCATCGATAGTTTCAGATCACTAATATAAAGTATAAACAGAACCGAATCGCCGAGTGAATTTCGTCGGACGGAGCGATGCCGTCGGGTGATATTCGCCGCAACATTTCACCCAATAAAACAGAACTGAAACGAAATACGCATCAATTGGATGACAAATAAAAAATATAACAAGTAATGCTTAAGCAACAAACAACTTCAATTCTCATACACAAATTTAGAAGTACCGTCAGTTTCTTCACGATCCAAAGATGAGATCTAAACCAAATTAGTATGGTACCACCCCTGAGACGCCACCGTTAGGAAAAATAATTATCGAAATCGGTTGACGTGGTCCAAAGTTACGCGGTAACGTACATAAAAAAAAAATATTCCGACGAATTGATAACCTCCACCTTTTTTGAAGTCGTTTAAAAACACTAAAGCGAAAAAATTAACCCACAAATTTTCCCATTCTGCCTATTCCTGATAATTACTGACTACTGATTCTGTGTCGAGAGGTAGCGGCCCATCAGACGAACTTCGTTGCCGCTTTAGGTGTGTGTTTTAATTTTGGCAGCAAAACTTCATTCGACAAAGTTCGTTCAGCGATTTGATTCGTTGGAAAACTCAGATTGGTTATGAGTTCGTTGTCAATTCGATATGCATATTGGATATCGACGGCCATTTCCGAACGATCGCCACAATGTTTACTGACAATCTAGAAAAAAACTTACCGTTTTGCTCCACCGGCATCTGGTGAAACAATAATGGAGTTTTTCCACTCTGGTATATTTTCCTTAATCCACTTTAAAACAGCCGGTTCAGCATAAAGGTTGTCCACAGGAATATCAAAGAAACCCTAGACAATAGAAATAGAACACACTTGTACATATATCGTAATAGATATTCACAGCAAAAGAAGGCAATTTAAATTTATTCAAAGCCTATTCAACTTTCAAAGATACATAGTATACATACATACATACAACATACATACATACGTCTGTATAAAGGAAAATTCTAAAAAGGAAACATTTATTTAAACATCATCTTCGAAATGCCAAAAAGATTAACTGATGAGGAGCTTTCAGAACTTAAAAACTGGCTAGCAGATCATCAAATCAATCCGAATAAATTGCATCGCGAGTTTTCAGATGCAGTAGCTTTTGCGAATTTGTTAAAGAAATTGTATCCTAAATTAATAGATTTGCATAATTATCCGCCTAGAAACAACACTCAACTAAAGTTAAACAACTGGGAAACGCTAAATTTTAAAGCCCTCGGAAAAATTGGTCTTCAGCAAACTAGAGACATGTTAGAAAAGTTTGCGAAAGGTACCCCCGGAGCAATAGAATCGCTGCTGTATGATATCAAAATGCATGATCGAAATCCTATAAAAGGTGAAAGAAATGATGAACAAGAGCAAGCCTGGTCAGAAAATGACGACATTATTGTGGTGAATGTTAATAAAAAGATTGGTGATGCAATTGTCCAAGTCCCACAAAAGATGATTTTATACTCAATCTACGAGCAAGCTCTTCGAGACTGCCAGACAAAAGACTCTTATTTGAATTCCGCAAATCAAAAGATAGCTCATCTTGAAAACATACTGAAACTTAAAGCTGAGCGAATAGATGAATTGTGCGGTCAACTTGCTAAGGTGTCAGTGCGAAGTTTGTTGAAGCATCATAATTTAGAAAATTCTAGCCCCAATTCGCTCCTTAATTTGGATAATATTGAAAATGAAACGAACATATGTTTAGATTTTTAAGTATTTTCATTAGGCTCCTTTGAGCTTACGATTTAAAAAATAAATAAAAATAAAAAATTGGACGAAATACATATAAACACATGTACTAAAAATATATCTACATATGTACCGTACATATATTTTTATTTGATGATAAATTAAATTTGGGTGGGCTTTAGTAGTCAGCCGCACCTTTTGTTTTAAGAAAACCAGGTGGAATTAACAAATGAAACTTGGTCAGGATGTTAAGGGAGGTATCCTCTAAAACATGTATAACTAAAAAATATAAATAATATCATTGTTTATAAGTTATTTGTTGTTAAAATTTCTTAAGTCGTTCCACTTGGTTTCCTTAACAAAAAAGCATTTGTGCTTACTTTTATATATATAAATGCACATAACACTGTACTTAATACTTTACACACTTCTCTTTTAGTTTATCTTGTATATAAATCACTTTAATTAAACTTTTATCGACTTGTAAATTACATTGAATTTCACGCATATTTACAATAACACATGGTTGCAAACTGACACATAACATGTGTTGCCATATTGTACAAAACAATACATACAAAGAAGGCAATGATTAAAAAGGAATACAGGGGAAATCAATACAAAAGAAAATGTTCAGCTCCTTTTCTTCGCAAAACAGAAAGGAGAATTCTATTGCCTGAGGGTTATAATCCCTAAATGCGGCCGAAGGCCGCCTACGCAGAAAGGTGTTCTCTGCAAAAGGTGTTCAGCTCCTTTTCTTCGCAAAACACAAAGGAGAATTCTACTGCCTGAGGGTTATAATCCCTAAGTGCGGCCGAAGGCCGCCTACGCAGAAAGGTGTTCTCTGCAAAAGGTGTTCAGCTCCTTTTCTTCGCAAAACAGAAAGGAGAATTCTACTGCCTGAGGGTTATAATCCCTAAGTGCGGCCGAAGGCCGCCTACGCAGAAAGCTGTTCTCTGCAAAAGGTGTTCAGCTCCTTTTCTTCGCAAAACAGGAAGGAGAATTCTACTGCCTGAGGGTTATTATCCCTAAGTGCGGCCGAAGGCCGCCTACGCAGAAAGGTGTTCTCTGCAAAATGTGTTCAGCCCCCCCTTCTTCGGCAACACAGAAATAATAATTCTACTAAGTAAAAATTCCGAATTAAAAATCCGCTTTTATTATTCAAAATTCCAGTCTGGTCGCACTAAGTTGTATGTTATTTTGCTATCTTATTCATCGTTTATATGAAAACTTTAACAATAAATTATATAAGAATATAATAGGGTTGCTAGAAAAAAAGGGGGTAGTTTTGAAATCAGGGGGTCCTATTCTACCCCCTCATCACCCCTTTTTCTAGAATTTGCCGTCCGTCTACTAACATTTTCCCTTAAATTTGCATAGTGTATCACTGGGCGGCCGCTGTGGCTGAGTGGTAAGGTACATACGTTCTACCACTACACACTTGCCTTCAAGTGCGAATAGGTTTTTCGGACATGTAACAACATTCTGCTAATGCAGATTTGTTGGGAATTACTTAATCTTCTTATATCTACTATATACATCTACCTACCTAAACTATCTTTGACTTTGCTAGCAGTGTTGTTGCGAATATTCGCATTCGCATTAATTTTGACATTCGCGTTCGCACTCGCAATAATCAATGCGGAGCTTTTGCGAATGCGAATGTTGTGCAAATGCACCGATAAAACGTATACCTGGCAAACAAAATGACCATTTGTAGCCAATATTTTTTGCCTTTAGTCGTGGTAGTATTTCTTTAACAAAACTGGTAAACTTTGATAAAAATGGCTTTAAACATAGTAGTTATAGTCGAAAGTTAAAACCTCTTCTAGCTAAAATTAATCTTTAAGTTTAGAGCAGGCTTTAAGTTTTATACGGTAGACAAACGGGCTCGATTATTTGCATAACCAGCCTTAATTTGCTTTAACTCATGCATTTTCCTCTTTAAAATGAGCATAAGCAGCCGAACAAATGCACGAAATTTTTGGGAATTAACTCGGATCCGGGGAATTTTCGATGACAATACTGGTAAAAACGGCCAGTTGTTGTCTTTTGTACAAGTAAGCAAACGAAGCAATCGAGTTTCGCGTACGCGGTAGCCGAGTGGTGAGAGTTGCGAGCTACAAGCTACCAGGTTCGATACTCGGTTGGAGCGATTTGCGAAAAATGTTTTGTTTTTATTATTTCTTTTATATTTTTTTATTTTATTTTATTTATATATTTAATTTTACTTTATTTTATTTTCATTTGCTTTATTTTATATCACATTTCTTATTTTACTATTAGTTAATTTTAATTTTTAGAGATGAATTTTGTTAAAAATTCAACAACTAACTGAAAGTAACGTAAAAAAAATATAGAACTTATAAAAAAAGAATGAAAAAGAAATAAAAAAGTATACTGGCCGTGTTACTCGAACCCACGACCTTGCGGCTGGTTTATTCGCATTACTGCCGTCTGTAAGGGTAAAATTTTAATTTGCATTTATGCTTATTAATTCAAATTAATTTTCTTTGTCGGTCTACCATATTAGTCAGTTATAGACATGTTAGAGGCAGGTTTTTGCTAGATTGACACAAAACAGGGCTATTAATATAAAAAGAAAAAAGTAACCAATCGGCATTAGGAAAACTTTGTTATTTTAGCAAGTTCACCCTGTGTCAACTGACTTTTATAAATAATTTTGAAAATGGCGTAGCAAACTGTAAGTAAATAACAAATTTTATAAAATATAATTTATTAACGTAAATAATTTCATTTTTATAGGAAGTGAAAAGAATTCGTGAAGTTAATTGGACTGCTGCTGAAAAGACTTGCTTGCGGTTTTCCTCTTTCATTTGAAAAGGATCTTGGCGTTCCTTGTAAGTTTTCCTATTTCTGGTTACGATTGTATCATCCAAAATCGCAAAATCTCGAAATATCCTTTAATTGGGAAGCATATTCTTCAAATTAAGACGACTTTTGTATTTTCTCCGCAAATTTTGACGGGAAAACGTCTACTTAGAGTGCGCTTTTAAGATTTTAAAACCTCGTCAACCTCTTTTTAAATTTAAAACGCCGTTTTAAAGTTAAAAGGTCTTTTAAGTTGACTATGACAGTGTTAAAAGAGTGTTTATCTTAATATACAGTTTTAAATGTTAAAACCTGCCTCTAACTTGTCTATAACTACGGGCCATTATTTCTTAAGCTATATAACCGAGATATCAATGGGCAGTCATGCAAGTTCCCACTTCTACATGACCTTTGAGGTACGTCAAAGAGAACATAGTCCTTTTAATAATATTTTTTTTTGTTTTCTGTGCTTTAAATACCTGCATTTTGATTTGCTTTTGATGTTACATACCGTCACCTTAATACACAAAAATCAAATCATTCATACGGATAGGGCATATTAAATAGTGGCATAACTCTGTTGTTTTTGGTACTAACACTTTAAAATTAGTGAAGGTGTATTTTAATATCCTACCAAAAGCTGTGAAAAATGCAATTTCGAAAAAAGTGCTGGTTAGGGCCTTTGTGAATTAAGGTAGGGATGCCCAAATCAGCACATATGTGTCGCGCGCGACTGCGCGTGCAAAGCTTTGCACAGCGGTGCTTGGCAAGCGCGGAAGCAAAAAGTTATCGGAAGGGGAAAACGAAATCAACAGAATAGTGAGATTGTATGTGTGACAGTGATGGAAAATGAGTGTGCATTGTGCTATTTTCGGCCCGTTCGGAAGCAGCCGGCAACTTCAGCACAATCGATTGAATTTAGGCACTATTTTTGCGTAACTCAATGCAACTAATAAATATTTCTTTCGGATCCGCAATTAAAAATATTTTTTTTACATTTAATCGTATGTGCTTAAACTGATAAATGATATAAACATAGAAACGCAAGCAGAAGAATCTCGCTTCCACATTCTATGTTTATATCATTTATCAGTTTAAGCACATACGATTAAATGTAAAAAAAATATTTTTACATTTAATCGTATGTGCTTAAACTGATAAATGATATAAACATAGAAACGCAAGCAGAAGAATCTCGCTTCCACATTCTGCATATGCGCTTAACATTTTTGTTTAAACAAATTTGTCGAAATATCATTTAATATATACTTTAGAGTTAAATAATCATTTTTAGTGGTGGGCGAGTCCGAGATGTTTAAATGATTGAGATAGTACATTCAATTCGCGTAGATTTTTGAGAACTTTTTTCGTTGAAGGTGTTTCAATTTTTCTTCCATACTGAAACTTTTGTACATCCAATTTGTATAAAGAAAATGCAAAAAAAAATATTAAAAATCAACATGAATTCTTAGCTGCACTTTCACTTTATAATACTAAAATTGAATCGACTATAAAACTGCATACCGTACTTTTATTGATTTTATTGCCATCAACAAGATTTTTCGTAAAAGCGCTAGCACAACCTAAACAACAAAGTTATTATTAATGGATAAAAGATACATCTTTTTGGATTCGGTAATAAGTTTTGACATTTTAATAGCATTTCAAGGGCTTATCAAAACTTTACGGCACTCACATATTGACAAGGTTGGACCATTTATATTAATATTATATATTTTTTTTAATAAAAATACAGTTTATACTTAAAAATCCAAAGTTCAATCCAAATCCAAGGTTCAATCTTTTTGCAACATTAAAAAAATCAACACACTTTCGTAAAAATTTCGAGCTTTTTAATTAGATTTCCTAGAAATATTTTGAGTATGCAGTTTTGTAGCCCATTCAGTCTTTTAAGATTTTTTTTGATGAAGCAGTTGCTCATTTTCTCCATATAATAAAATCGTCGAACACACTTCGTATGGAAAAAATTACGCATATCGTCAGCAATAAAAGAAAATAAAAATAAAAAATTAGCAAAAATTAGCGGTTAGTCCCAGCTTCTTTAAACTTGCAATTTACTATACCAAAATTGAAAACCACGAAATTTTTACGAAAACTTGTAGATTTTTTTAATGTTGCACAAAGTATTTAACTTGGATTATGCAGATTTGTTAAAGACTAATTACATTTTT